ATTGCACTTTATGGATCCTCCTTTTCCGGGCGTAACACTATGGATAGTATTTCCGTAGCCTGCAACAATAAAGGAGTCGTCAGTAACTCCGGGCTTTGGTACAACATTCGTGGCATCACTAACCAGATCATTAGCTTTGTCGAACATGGTTGCAAAAACAGAAGGAGGGATGTTTGAAACCCCTGAAGAGGCAGCAGTGAAGACGAGAGCTGGTGAAGACGACGGGTCGGTTGTATTCTTTGGTTCCTCATTAACTAACGTTTTCTTGCTATCCATACCACTCTTTGCGTAAATTTTAAGTCTGGATAACTTTTCTTCAGCCGTCAGCTTGCTCCACTCGAATTCGCTTACTGCGAGATGCTGGAACTCCGGGCAAATCTCATATGGACCCTTGCCGAAAACAGCGCGATCTTCGTTGCGATACTGTGTTTCAATGATATCTCGAAGGGCGTTCACAAATTCATGCGGCGCCTTTGGATTGAAGTGTAGCACTTGCTTGATCATAGAATGGGCAGCTTCCGCGTCGTTGTTTGTGTACTGCTTTGGTGGGAACCCGAGACCAGCCTCAGTTCATATTGGTTTCAGCATCGATTCCACGATTAACGGCGCCTACATAAGCATTCATTATCATTTTTAATCATAATACAAGTGGCGGGGCTTGTGAAATCCTGAATACATATGCATGCTCAAAAATTGAAGTGCCTGTACCATGGTGTAACCTTTAGTAATACGCAGAATAACAAGATTATACTTATTGCCTTGCTGTTTCGACATATACTTTCAAATCATCGTCCACTCCTGATGATAACTTGAAAGTATAATCGAAACGAACAATGCATGCAGGTACTGCATATTGATTAACGTTTTGGACATGACATAAGGCGAAATTTGGCGCCCAGAAACATAGGAAAAGTATGTTTATAATTCATATGCAGAAAGATAAATTACCAATTTTATGTTGTTTCAAATTGCCCGGAAATTGAAAATACCTTATTGTGGTACAAAGGTACTTGTGCATTGCTGTTGAAGTTAATGGTTACTTACTTTTTCCTTGCAAAACCATTCGTAAAAACTAGTAGCTCAACTTGAATTGCCGCATTCGTTTTCAAGAGCGTTCCAGCGATGCTCTAACGCTTTCAGCTTTGCTGTGAATTCCTGCTTGTTGCTGCAATCCACCAGCCCTTCGTATTTTACTTCGTTTACTTGTTTGCCGAAAATCTCGTCGAGAACAAGTCTCTTGTCACCGGGCGCGATCCCTCTTCTTTCCAACTCTCGCTGGATGTTGTCTTTCACGTGAATGAAGCAACGGAGGAACAATGCATAGCGGAAATTACGTTGAAAGCCTCTAATAACCGCCTTTTCCTCATCTGTACCACATGCGATGATTCCCTCTAGGGCTGGACACTCCGTAATCAGTGTGTTCGCAAATCGTGAATATGTCTGCCAGTCTTTCCGTTGGTGCATCAGTACTGGTCCAATGAAAACTGGCGACTTCTTGGTTGCGTTGTGGTGCAACTTGTGATTTCTATAGGTGACGACCGTCAAACTAATATTTTCTTTGAAAATGTTAAAAGTCAGGTCGACGCCTAAGATGCTAAACTCGTTAGCATTTGTGCAGAAACGCGTCAGATCTTGTAGTCGGCGATGACTGGCCAACACAACCAGAAAGTCCGGGTGTATCCGGCATTCGCGAATAAACGATGAATCAGGACAAGCCTTCTCATCGCGTTTGGCTTTTTCCAGCAGCTGCCAGATGTTGTTTACTTCGTTGGCAAGTGGGCGGTCTCCATCTGTACTTGCAGTGGCTTTAGCAGAGAAACGGGCATTGTAGACATCGCGTAGTCCCCGTGGGAGTTGTCCGTGGCTTCTCGCTGTCGTAACATCGCCAACAGAACGGTACACGTTGTCTAACAATTCCTTCGGATTTACAGCTTTTGATGAAGACTGCAAAGCCTTTCTGGTGCTTGGGAAGACTCGTCTATAGGACCGACCACTTTTGGAGTTCCCGTGAGCCAGTGGCGGAATCACTTCATGCTCGTCCTTCGTAAACTGATATTGCACAAGGGTGTACCTGGATTTAGCTTCTGTATCACAATCTATAATAACGATTACTGTATTTAAGTTAAGTTTTAATAGTATTTTATATATATTTATGACAATAGGATTTTTCTGCACTACCTTTTTAAAGTTTATTATATATTATACTAGTGCAGTAAAGGGAATATATTTATTAATTAATCTACAATTTCACAACTTCAGCGTTACACAGTGTTTCATGCCTCAAGGCAATAGGCAGATTGCACTATTTTAGTGCAGCCGTAGATTCGTGCGCTGCATGCACGCTAGAAGACATTAGTATGATAATATATACGAAATATAAACAACTCTCTTTTGCACGCTCACGCCATGGGGTCTCTATATATTTCCAATAATTAGCTTTTCATGGTCATATAGGGTCACTATATACTTGATTTTGCTTACCGCGTAACATACAGCGCATCTTCTTCAAATCGGGGCTGGTTTTGTTCACGTAATAGACTCTTTCCACCAAAAAGTGCCTGCTGCCCTGCACAGCATCGTCTGGACTCTTTGATATGTCGGTGACCACGTCAACGCTCCCATCTTCCATGTATGTAATCGCGACCTTTTTCTTTGGCGTGCCTGTGTGCTCCCATGACCCCATATCGTCACATTTAAGATCGTCTTCATTTTTAAGGTTGTCATTGTTTATGAGAAATGTAACGTTGTGGGCGATATTTATGGGAGGCGCGACGCATAAACGTTCCTTGTCATGGTCTGCCAGCAAAATGCGTACCAATTCCTCTAAACAGTATGAAGTGCTTCTCCATTCAAACACTGGGGTAAGAGGATCGCCTCTGTATAAATTGGTTTCTGAGATTCCACAATCTGCATCACTATAGTAAAGTAGTAAAGTTAAAATAATAAAACTGTCTTCATAAATTTACCGACCTTGGACGGCTGTCCATTGCAATATTTATTGCGCTAAAAAGAGCCAAGAGTAATGGCAACAAAAATGATGGAATAGTGGGATATAAAACCCATTTTCTGCGAAAGAAAGCACTTATTAAATAAAATAATAAATAAAATTAAATTATTTTTGTGGCTGTATAGTGCATCAAAATCTTGTAAATTGGCCGCGCTAATAATCGACGCATGCATGCTAAATAGGCAACGTTATTTTACCTTGTCACTTGTGTGGTAGATCACCATTGTTTAATTATTACTAATACAGAGTGTATGCCATGGTATTTGTTTGCCTTGACCGCGCTGGGATTTGGGGCTACCTCAATAACCGCGTCGATCATCTATTAAATGTTGATCATCTATTAAATTGTACAACTAAAAACGAACGTTTATATACCTGTCTAATTCTATGCTTTGTTCTGAGTCAATAGCTCCATCTTTCTGCACATTGTCTAGTACATTGAAATCGTCAGTATCTGAGTCCGGGCCGCTCTCGTAACCAGGACTCTAAATGGGAATAAGATAATTTGCTCTTTTACTATATTGACCATATTGCTCTGACATCTACATCGCTAGCTTAGGGACTATAAGCACAATGTATAGAGTGTCTGAATTCAATCTGTAAATAATTAATAGAAATGAATGGACCAAGCAGTTAAATAAACGTACCGTCTCCCTTGAACTGCATGGAATTTAGTTGATCCAGTCTAGTTGATCTTGTGCAATTGTCTAAACATAACGCGAACAAATTACTCGGGTATTATACACATTATATTCAACCCTTTGCTGTTAGCGCTTGCTATATCTGAAGGAAACATTGCCTGCCTTATATCGTAGCAAATCGCTAGAGTTAAACTAAAGCATCGCCGTCAAGTGTAGTGTGCTGGCATTTGGCATACGAGTCTAACTGCAACTGTCGCAGGCAGTAACTTGCGTAGGCCTGTCACCCGAAACATTGCAAAAAGACAATGCGACCCATCGGATGTTCAGCGAAGAACATACATGACATTTTCTTTTCAACAAAGTCGTATAATTAAACGCTATATATAAGCGCTATAGTGGTGCAGGAAAATGTATGATGCGTAATTGTTTTTTATAAATATTGATAAAGAATGGGAAACTATATAAAATTAAATGCACACACCTTTATCCGATGAGGTTTCCATGATTCATGAAACACTTTGTGCTGCTTCTTTGCCGACTCCACTGGCCGCAAGCCGTTTGAGGATCCACTGTACCACCATCCTGCACGATCGTGTGCTCCTATCCTCAGTGTACACCAAAAGCCCCATTGCCATTCCCACCTAACGCTTCACTGACTGGGTGGGTGTAGATCAGGAAGAATGACTCACGGACCACTCCAACGAGGAAGCAATATGGACTGCATGTGTAGAGACCTACTGCCCATCCCGTATCAACGAGTTTCGTGCTGCTCATCTCACTGAACAGTTCCTGCCGCCCTAATTCTGTTAGAGCACCGTTGTCCGAAACGCACTCCTCTGACAACTCGTAACTGCCGAGCAGCATACTGTTTGATGCGAGAATGGCTTTAACGCTGGCTGGATCATATTCCGCTGAGCAATCACGCAGGCTGTTTATCTGTAACGGGAATTCAGTGATGACTTTCTCTGCCGTTGTCACCATATCTTCCCAGGAAATGGCATCGTTGTCGTCCCACATCACGTGCTGGGTTATAAGATCGCCTATTTTTAAGGCCAGGAAAACACATGCATTTGTCCCATCATTCTCAGGCGAAACTCAACATTAATTTCTCCACAATCATTCATTCTTTTTGCGATTATAGCATCGGCGTTATCTAGGGCGGTGTTCTGGCTCACACTGAAGCTCATCACGGTTAACGAAGCAACAGGATCATCAGGATTCAACTCCTTAATGATTTCTGAGGCGTTTGGCCTTTCGGCCGGCCTAAAGGCTGTGCACGCCTTGAAAACTTCGGCTATCTGCCACCATTCTGTGACTCGCATTGATTCGTATTTGTCCTCGTGGGTAGGGACTTATCCTTTTTTCATCAAGGCCTGAAGTTTGTTCTCAGAAAGTCCACCGTCAGTCGCTTCTCTGCAGTAAGGATGCAGTAAATTTGGGTTGAGTAGGGTGTATGCTACCATACCTAGTGACCAAATGTCCGTTCTCTTCAGGTGCCATATACACAGGCGTTCCTCTGGTGACATCATCTGTTCGCGACTGAAGAACTGACTTCGTCTGAGCGTGCAATGATCGACTTAGACCAAAGTCCGTGACTTTACAAACAATCGCCTTGTGGAGGTAATCAAGAGCATTTGCGACATCCCTTAAACAGACCACTAACACATCGGCAAACGAATCGAAATCACACTCACCGTCCACAAAATGACAGAAGTCTTATAGATTGCTCACTGTTTTCTCGATTCCGAATGGAGTAAACGAGAAGTAAAGAAACTTGATCATTACGGAATAAGGATTGTCGCAGAAACCAAGAAAACGTGCGATGTTGGTATGCTTTGAATTGAAAAGCAACTTTGCTTCCTTCAAAAAGCGATCTTTTGAAATGGCTGATTCACCTTTTAGCCGCTTAACCGCAACAAGATCCTCTTTTTTGTCGTATTTTGCTTTATAAATTGAACCAAAAGCACCACTGCCAATCTCATGGATATCCGTCAGCAAACTCCAATTAAACGTTGGCAGGCCATGGTCTGATCTTCGTTTCTTAATCAGCGAAGGAAGTTTAAAGCTTCCTTTTAGACCAGACATGTCGAGTAAATTGTGAATACAAGGATCACATTGTTAGGAACATGTACAATTTTACCAAAAATCAGTGCGATGGCGTAGAGAAAGGAATTTAATGAGATAGTGTTTAACCCTTTAATGCCCAGAGGTTCCCCATTGACAAGTAAAATCGTCTGGGGTAGTTGTGGTTTACTGCACAGAAAAACTTATTCTATATTTAGGCAAGAGAGGGCTTAATGCAGTGGTACAGTAATTATATAAGTTAGTTATAATTATATATCCTAGGCAAATGAAACTGGAAGCAGTACAGCAATGGAGCTTGAGGAGGCAAAACTTTGCTTTCATTTCTTGAAAGATAAAGGATTGTCAGTTGACACTTTTGTTTCTGACCGGCACAAGGGGATTGCCAAATGGATCAGACAGACCCAACCAAGGACTATTCACTTCTTTGACATTTGGCATGTCACAAGATCTATACACAAAAAGCTGTTTAAAGCAAGCAAGAAAAAGGGTTTAGAGAAAATAACATACTGGTTAAAAGGTGTGAGAAACCACTTGTACTGGTGTGTTACATCAACTGTACAGGGATTTAAAGAGCTTATATTGGCAAAATGGAAGTCGTTCATGTTCCATGTTGCAGACAAACGCAAACATCATCCAAATTCCTTATTTACCACATGTGCCCATGAAGATATTAGCCCTCGGAAATGGATTAAAATAGGTAAAGCACAGAAAGTCTAGTCAGTGGAATCATTTTATCCTAGGGAGTTCATAAGAAATTGTTAATCAGAAATGTGCCCTTTTTTGTCATATTACTCTTTCCAATGTGAGGTTATATTACTTATTAACTGAAAAAAAAATTCGTAACTCTCTTTTAGCTATAGTTAATAAAAGGTACATCTCACGCTTGACAAAAATGTATGCGAAAGCGCTAATTAAAATCGTGACAATTTTTGTTCGATTCCGCGCTTGATATACGCGAAAACTGGTAACTAATTTAAGCTCCAATGTTGCGCAATTTTGTTTGCTTTTTGAAAAAGAGGGGTTGTTCAGGGGCAAAAATAGATCTGCGGTGTTAAAAGAGGGATCTTCAGTGATAATTTTGGTACCAAAGTTGCTATGGTTACTAAAGTTGTTTTCCTTGGGAAGCGATCGTCGTTCAAGGCGTTCGCGAGAATGGCGTTCTTTGGCAACATTTATCAAAAGTTATCGGTTTTCGTTTTGTTTTAAGTTTTTTGCTGTTGCTCAAATTATCGATACTTCTCCGGTCTTTTGTACAGATGTTATCAACTTAAAATCCTACCTTTTTTGTTTTTTAGAATTTTGCTTTTAAACACCGTGAAAATGCCGTTTCCGCGGGGGCGTCAATATAGGCGCTTCAATGTTGGCCCGTATGTGCAGCAGAGGAAATTGGGCAACCAAACAGTCGCAGATCAAACAAAGCAGGTTCGGGCGACAGCTGCAAAGCTTCAGAGATTAGACAATAAGGTAAATAAAAACATTTGTTGATTGTGTATATATTATATATCTTTAAAAATCACAAAGTATTTCAAGCTTCAATGCTTCCGAATTGTGTTGCATTGAGAGCCCACTATTTTTTATATTGACAAATTTAATAGAGTCTCTATCATATTGATATTATATTGGAAATTTTAGAATACATTGCCAATAATGAAATGGGAGTTGATTGGTATTTTCAGCAATTTTCAATTTAATTGAAAATCTGTCAATAACCAGAGTGATATGATTTCAATAATGTTTACCAAAACACTGACCAAACACCAATATATATTACATACATGTATGATGTATTGCAGGTAGCCAGACTAGTTGATCAGTTAGAGGAGGTAGAGGAGATCCAGGAGGAAGTGGTAGAGGAGATAGGGAAAGATAGTAGAAACACAGCGTTTTCAATTAGCAGGAAAACAGCAGCTAGAAGGCAAACCACACCGACTGGAGCTCCTGGGTACAGCATATCAACTGGAAGAAAGCGGAGGAAGGAAACAATGGAGGCAGCGTGTATCATTAATGGCGGGAGTGTGGCAAATACAAAACCAGCTACAGTTGGAATGGTAGAGGCACTGGAAACCAGATGCAAAGAAAGTGATATGGTGCAGGCTGTGAAGGGTGTTAAGAGATCAAAGTTGAGAGGAAAGGTGTTGCTGAAGCTTTACAAAGAAGATCTAGAGAAGTTTGAAATTTCAAGTGATAATATGTTGAGATCAATTGCTATCTATTATAGTAACAGGGTTATGGGTAGGGTTAGACATAGATCAGTGTAAAAATCTCTTTCATATAGTCATGCCACAAATAAGAAACGGGCTGCGTGTATAAAGGTTGCAAACTGCCCCACCCCTAGGCTTGTTCCCTACCACAGGTTGGTGTCATATATCAAGTACATTGAAATAGGTAGGTTGCACAGTGTTCGGGAGACGCTTTGTTATGGGTTGGATGAAGCTGATAAGGTGAATGGTTGTTATAGAGAGATTGAAGATCTTGTTTTGAAGTTGGCAGAGTTTTATATTAGTAGTGAAGAGTATAATATTTTAACTTTTGATGAGCCTAACACATTCCATATAGCATTAGGTGGTGATGGAGCTCCTTTTGGCAAGGATGATACTGCATGCTCTTGGCTGGTGAGTATTCTCAATATCGGACAACACATACTGAGTAGAAATGAAAATTTCCTTCTTTTTGGGGCTAACTGCTCTGAGAATTGTCTCCTAGTGAAACGCTTCATTGCCAAGCTGATGGCTGATTTAAAGAGGATAGAAAAAAAATCATATTCTGTATTAATCAATGGTGAGCCTGTCCAAGTTAAATTTGTTATTGCGGAACTGCCTAATGACATGAAAATGCTTGCATTTTTAGGAGGTGAACTAACTAACAGTGCCACCTATTTTTCATCATTTGCAGATGTTAGTAAAGATAATATAGTAAATTGTAGAGGCACATTTGGTCCCCATCCTACTGACACCTGGAAGCCTTGGGTTTATACTAAGAGAGTTGCAGATGCACAGGCAGTTGAAAAGTTCAAACAGAAGCTGAATCCAAATCTTAGCAAGGCCACCAAGAGATCAAGAGTTACCAGTTTCATTGCCAAGCTTAAAAGCAGACAGGAATTTATTCCCCTAGTGACTGATTTAATCAATAAAGCCCACATTGAACCACTACACCTGAAGAACAATGCGTGTGCTCTAGCACATCGACATCTGTTAAAACTTGCAATTTCATGGTCTAACTTATCTACATCTATTTCTACTTTTTCCCAGGTGCCAGCTATTTCCCCTTTTTATAGGTATGTTGAGATACTTAAGTCAAAGTGTGGCCTGAATAGGTTGGCTAAGAGGATCATCAGGTGGTTTAATGATACAGGGGCTAATGGTAAGGATTTTGAGTACCGCTTTACAGGTAAGGATTCAAGAATGTTTTTGTTTAATTTCATGTTCCTTATAGACGTTCTTGATACTGCAGCTAAAAATGAACAAGCTAGACTTGTCATTCATATCCATGCTTACATGTGTCTTTGCTTGAGAAATGCTGTTTCATTGTTTAGTCGTGTTAACATAACTGATGATGAACTTAGTGAGTTAGAATTGCATTGTAGAAATTTTTATCATGGCTATTGTTTATATTTTCATGTTAATCCCACAGTATGGTCTCTTGGCAATTTTGTTCATAAGCACACTCAAGAGATGAAGTTGAAATATGGGTTAGGGCTTGGGCTGAATTCAATGGAAGGGAGAGAAGCAAAGCATATTGCTATATCCAGATATTGTGCTAATACTTGCTATTTGTATAGATGGGAACAAGTATTTCGCCATGAATACATCTCTTTAATCTGGCTACGAGAACAGGGTTTAAATGCAAGGGCTAAAAATCCAAAAGCACTGTCCTACTTACCAAAACGTGTTTGCAATAAAGACCCTGAGTTTTGCAACTGTGGTTTTAACAAATTGAATTCTGACGATCTTTGTAGATTTTGCAGTCATGAGCTCCGCACAAAGATAAAAGACAGCATCGAGAAATGTGAGGCTATTCGGGTTTGAATTGAGGTATTAAGGTCCACACACATCAGACGCGATCCGCCAACGCGACGCGAATTTGTCAGTTTTTAAAAGCCGCTAATTTTGACAATGTTGTTATAATATTCTTGGTAATTACCGACTAACGGTACATTTTGACTGGTCTGGTACCCATATCTCGCAAAATGTTCATTCAGAATTGAATTTGTTTTTTGCTGAAAATGAAAAATTCGCGTCGCGTTAGCAAATCGCGTCAAGTGTGTCTGGGCCCTTAGGGTCCAACTCAAGCCCAGCATATTCTTGGACAGCACTGCAATATATCTTACTTGATGATCTTTAGCATGCCCGTGAAGACAATAGACAACATTCTATTTCGCATGCGCAAACTAAACGAGGACCACTGTTCATCTCAATTAAAAAAGCTCATAATGTAGCTACTGTTACCATGATGCATAATTCTCAAGATTATTTTTATTCGACTAAAGCATATAAGCTCTGTTTACACTACACTCAATTTATTGGCACGGCACGGCTAAAATGGGTACCCGTGCCCATTTCATCCGTGCCCTGCCTTTGTTTTGGTAGCCTGAACACTAATAAATTTGGGCACGGGTACCAATTTTGGCCGTGCCGTGCCGATAAATTGAGTGTAGTGTAAACGGGGCTATAGTTGTACAGGTAGAATGTTGTCTATGTTACTCAGTATGTGTTGTCATTCATTCAACGAATATGAAACTTATTATTATAAAGTACAGTACCATACAGTCGAATGGACTTTTGAATAACGATCTGATTTGAAATGATCTGAAATTACCCCGAAAATATGATATACATGTATATACCTTTATATAGAAAGTATTTGTTTTGACGTAGTTTGCGGACTAAACATGTTCCCAGTTAGTCAACTAGCTCAGGAACATGATTTCTCTGCAAATACGTCACAACGCAGACTTTTTATAAAGGCCCATTACACTCAATAATTCTAAAGATTATTTCTAACAGATCCTGACGATAATAATTAGTTCATATCCGACATGTCATTCTAACTGTTTATTGTTTTGCAGAAGTGATAAAAGTCTGTTTTTTGATTAGTGTATCTATCAGTGTGCTAGAGAGTGTGTGAATCGTTTTCTGAAGGGGTTAGGTTGGACTTGTTTGGATGAGTTGAACTGGATTGGCTGGGTTTGGATTGTGCGTTTATATTGTACTGTGTTGTACTGTATTTAATTAGGTTTAATAATATCTTCATGGACTGATATATAAAACAGTATGGTTGACCTTTTCAACTATTATAAGCATTGATTTCGCCCTCATTATAGGCACCACTGTTACTAACGAAAACTTTCGGAAACTTGGAGTCACTGTGAGGTATCAATGAATGAATGTACCCTAGCTGAATGTTTGCACCCTATTTTAAAAAATGAGCCATTGTCACATTAGATATGTAGTTAATACAACTTGTGTTAAAACCTTTTTCCTTTTACAGAAACCTTTCTGCGTAACTATTCAAAAGAATTACGAGTTACTGCATGCTCAAATTTGCTAGAATTAAACAATAATACTGGGTTGAGCCTTCGTTTTAAGTTAAAGTTATTAAAAAAACAATACAAAATCACACCACGACCCTCGTTTTCATGATCACTGTATGTCTCGGCTGTCACGAATCATTCGGAAATCGCGTTTTAGCATAGTAAAAAAAACTCCGGCCAAAGCAAGTTGTAGCAACTTAAAATATACAATGTAATATATGGCTTTTTTTTTATTTTAGGTTGTATACTCCATTTTGGGTTGGAATTCCTTTGAGTTTCTTCAAATGCCTCAAAAAATAGCCTGTAGTCCAGTTCAGTATAACATTTTGAAAACTTTCGTAATAATTTCAGCAAAAAAGATCCGATAAAATCATCACTATTAACTAGTATTTTAATTTATCGGAAAATCAGTTATTATTCTTGTCGATATTTTATAACTGATAACTAAATTTATTGGAATTCCAGGTACATCTAAGAGTACAAACCTAACTGATGTATATCCGCAGCCCGTTTCAATTTGCTTGCGCACATATCTAAATATTTGTCACCTCGGGCGCACAGGATGCGATTTTAATAAGCCGATTTTAGTCGATTTACCAAATCGATCCTAGCACGATGCCATTTGTAAGCGAATATTGTCAGTGGACTGCATAAGACAATATCCAAAGAGTTTGATATTGCCCGAGTAAAATCGGTCAACTAAAATCGTACGACTAAAATCCCCCTGTGTTCCTGGCTGGCTTCAGCTTTGAGTACTCTCGACTTCTTCCGAAATGAAACTAATTGTACCGGGACTGGGTAGATTGAACCACAGCATACAGATATAAGAAACACTATATGACCAAGTTAAGATTGTAACCATTAACAATCCTAACTTGGTCATAGTATTGTCACGAGTAGGATTGTGCTTCAGTGCAGCATATGTGGGAAATAGTTGTATTTCTACTGAGGTATTATTGAATAACAGCAGACTGATTAAAACCAATCCAACTTTATATTATCTAAATATACTTCAAAACATAACAACATACTGCAATGATTGTTTAATTGACTTTTAGTTACATCAAAAGGTACTTTGAGTTTTACCTTACTTAAATATAGTTAATATGTAGTGTATATGTTACAGATAGAAATGTTAAGCCAAATGTTTTCAAATATTGTTTGAATGTTTAGCATGGATGCAAGATATTATCTGTTTAGGCTAAACCATGTAGTGTGGTAAGAACATCTTGCAATTTAGTTGTGAGAATCTCCACTACAAATTTAAATTACTAACAGGTGTTAATAGCATTGGTACACAATTCTATACTATGTTAATTCATGTCATTAGATTATACATGTATTTGTCTATTTAATGCCTGTGACATTTGGTATTTGAAGATTACCAGTCAACCTACCAGGCTAGGAAATAAAATCACTTATTCAAGCCAATATTAGTGTATTTTGTACATAGCATGCATTTTTGCTGTTATCAGCTAATAGATCCATTGCGTGTTGAGTGCCAGTGCTCTTTTCCTGGTATATATATATATATATATATATATATATATATATATATATATATATATATATATATATATATACATCAAGAAAAGAGCACTGGCACTCATGTGTGGCTTTGGGTATGGTAAAATTTTAAATCAAAGTGCATCCAACATCAATACTCTCATCTGCAATAGACCTTTCTCATGATGATATCAAATCACAGTTGATGAAATAAGCATGGTTTGGTGACTACATAAAACCACAATACATCTCATTAACTATGTTTAGGTAGGTTTTTGCAAAAAATTGTTCCTTTCCCATCACATGTCTGTTGTATTTTGCACAGATAAACCATTAGCAATCTTTTAATTAACATATTTTTCAAGTCAAGGTTGAGGAGCTCAGCAAGAGAAATGCCATTAGTTAGTTTGGCTAAAATACAATAGACATTTGATAAGAAAGGAACCTTTTTTTGCATAAAGCAGGACAATAACATAGTTAATAAGTTGCATTGTACTTTTATGTAGTCTCCAAACTATGTATATTCCATTAACTGTGATAAAATGCATAACATTACAAGAAGTAGTCAACTATATATAAAAGGAAACTTGCAGCCTAAATAAAATCCAATTTTAAACATGTTGTGGAAAGCCAGCAACGTTCCATTCTCCAAAATAAAACGAGATAACAAGTTTACCTTGTCTTCGCTTATAGACAAAGGCAAAATCCTTTACATCTGAGCATATTACTGAAATTTTATGTCCCTTTCGAGATCCGGCTTTAAGATTCCTTTTAAAATAGTTGACTACTTCTTCTTCTCCATAGCCCGAAACTAATGAAAGTAATTCCACCACCAATCGCAGAGACGTAAACGATATAACTTCCCCCTTCTTGTTGTTACTATAGTAGCAAAATGGCTCACAATATGTAGGTGTTGCTTTTACCAATTTAACTACTACGAGAAACAACTCGAAGGGGATATCCCGGGAAATTTCCCCAAAAAAGGGATTTTGTATCCTTTGTCTCCCACCCAGACGCCGAGAAATACTTTGAAGCCACAGCCTTGCTTCACTTTGAAAGATAGCCGACGTACTCATGCTATATTTTGCCAAAACATCGGCAGCACAGTGGTCGATCTTGCATAATGCAAAGAGTGGCATTAAGGCATTCAGGCCAGCTGAGACAAATAAATCGGAGTCCAGCTCTGATTCAAGGGCCAAACGCTCTAAAACCCTTTGTACGCTTTCCTCATCGCCGCGCTTTCGCTTGTTTGGACGACCTTCGTTAACAATCTGAGCAAGAACATCCTCCCTTGTCAGTTTTGTATTCCCCGCCATTTTGAAAACGAGTGAGTGGATACTTCATGTAGCCATCAGGTTTTAGATATTTTTATGTGAATAACCGCAGGCACACACGATTGCATATTGGCGCTTTGCCATGCATTTTTGTCAAGCGTGTCTGTATTCAAACAGCAATAAAGAAATATTGAATAACCACACAATATATTTCTGACTAGGCACAAAAGAGCATGAAAAGATGTCTACCATACTCTTGAACAAAAGAATTTTGAATGATATACAAAACCTATCACCTGACACACAAACAAGTTGCTTAGAAGGGTTTCATGCCACCCTAAACTTCTGGCATCCAAAAATGTTATGCTTTTCCTGGATGGGAACATTTTGCAGGTAATTGTACTTTTTGCCTTACTTAGCTACTTAATCACTTGTTGCATGGCCTATTTTTATGCATTATTTCCATATTTTAGACATATACTGGCAAGTCTCCATTTCAATGAGAATTTAAAAAGAAAGACAATAACAGGCAAAAATGGCAAGCCCTACTACAAAGTCTCATATCCAAAATTTAAAATGGTGGAAGAAGTTGTACGTTGAAGTGCCAGTGCCTCCAAATTATGGTATGTAAATTGCTAAGGTGCATATGACACAAAATTGTTTACCTGCTAATTTGAAAGGACACATAAAATCATAGGATAAGTCAATAACTTAACTTAGCCCATCAACTTACACATCCTTTCAAATAAGTGGATGTCATATATGCACTTTACAGTGTAATATTTAACATCAAAGCTCACAAGGTACCGTTACACCATATATAAACACACTTATTTTCTTATGGGCATGTTTACATAACACTTATATAAATGCCATAAAGCAAATATATTTAAATAAAACTCCCAGTGACAAATTGCTGTGAATGTTTTCAGGTTATGTTGATGAAATAAGAAAACTTGTGTTTACTTTGTCAAAAGTTGTACTTAAGGCAAAACTAGAAGAGTACAAATCCAAAGTTCCAGAGCCAATGAATAGGAAGTTCCCGCAGAGACTTGCAAAGCAAGAAGCAATACATAATAAAGGGATTAAGATGCAGGCAAAGGCCTGGTAATTCTCCACCCTAAGGTGCCAAATATCCAGCGAATAAGCCATCTGTATCCTGTAGCTCTCAGATACCTAAGACAGATGCAAACATAAACATATGTCAAATGTATACCAGCAGTCCACATACATAAAAAATAATCAATGGTTGAGAACAACTGAATTTTTGCAACTGCTGCAACCTGTGCCAAATACCTACTCTCCTATATCTGACAATTATACCTAGCCTTCATGAAATTGTATAGTGTTTCACTAACCCATATCAAATTTACTTACTACTATGGAGTAGCACTGCAGTTTAGAGCATATGAAATTATTTGAAAGTGCTTTGCATAATATAAATACTGTACCCATAACTCACTCATTTTCTGCTGAACCACTTTTACGCCCATACGATTTGCCACTTTTGTCCTTTAGCAACGGTGCAACCAGTATAAGCACTGTGCGATGTGTAAGGGCAAGATAATCAGGATGCAGTGTTATACATGGAAACTTTTCTGTGCTAGAGTGACAGTCAAATGTCAGTTTGCCATAAGCCAAATCAATTTCCTTGCAGCATCTGAACTCACGGGCAGATATTAATGTCTCATGACGGCACATTGTACATGAACACCTGCAAAATAATGGTGAATTTACTGTAGGTTTCATTGTTAGATTATTACTACTAGCATAAAAGTTGACTTCAACTGTACTCTTTAATACATGTATTATATTTCATATTGTACAATGTAACCTTATTATTTTCAAATGATATATAATGTACAGTATTTATTTTATATAGATTTCATGTAAATTTCATGTTAATTTTTATATACATTATATTAGCAAACAAGAAAACCAAATGTTTATTTGAAAATTCGCCTTGAGGCTGGTGACAGTCTTCCCTTGCTATTATAGGTAATATAAACACCATTATAGTTCAAGCTATATTTAGATTATAATTTAGTAGTGTCTGTAAGGTTAGTTTATATTTAAAAATACCTACCAAGAAGAAATCATATCCTTGTTCTCGTATCGCTGCTCTAAAATCGAAGGAAACAATCCATCTTCGTCTCCCTCGTGTTCGCCAGACCCATCTGAATCATCGCTGTTTGATGTACTAGCTAAAGGTTCATTTTGGTAAGGCAGAATTTCGTCTCCAAGTGCTTTTGCACTGTCTTCGCTGTCGCTTTGTAAACACTACTCTGTATTTTCCTCATTTGTTGACGACTTATCAGATTCAGTTTCTGAACTTTCTGCCATAATTTTTGAATTTAAGATGATACCAGAGTCGATTCAAACCGAAATATTGACAAATAACTTTACATGTAAAAGCAACGCTTTGCCATTTTGCACAACTAATGACATCACATCCATTAAACTAGATTCCAGGCTCTTGTCTTAATTTATATATTGAGAATAGCAGATTTCGAAGGGCAAAAATACAATGTAATATGCATTTTCAAAAATCTTTTTCCCTCTCAAAATATTTCTTAAAACATGCTCTATGGTAAATCATCAAAAACAAGATAAAAAAAATCCATGTCATGTGCACTTTAATGAATCGATGACTGAGTTGGTATTGTGGCTTGTTTTCCAAGTCATCTTTCCTGTAGATCACTCCCGCACTCCAGTATAATGCCATGCGCCAAGATCGTTACACTTCACATCTTGATCACTGCGAAGCTTCATGGTATCAACACTGAACGAAGTTTTTACTCACATTTGTTGGAACCTTTGTAGTTATCTTTGCTTGATCAACATTCTCTCTCAGGAGTATAGTGGCCACCTCATTTGTGCTTACACCTATACAAGTC